TCCTTCCTTCCTTCCTTTTTCCTATTCTGCCTTTCTTTCCACTTTCCCTTCTTCTTTGCTCTCCTCACAAGTGAAGTTTAATGTGAGGAGAATGCACAAGTAAATCTAAGGGTAAATGAATTCTGCTATTTTAGGTATTTTTACTTAAGTTTAGATTATTGTGAAAAGGCTCAGGTGATGCATTTGGAATTCACTCCTTTGTAAGAAGCAGGCTGTATAAGTGAAGCTCATCTTCAGGAAGCCCTGAGTAGGTGGTTATGCTGGTACTCTTGTAAGTTAAGTTTTATGAAATGGTGTCGCCTTGGCAGTTAGGGAAGCATATGCCAATCATTTTTACCTGCGTCCCCTACAATAAACTCTTACTCTTGTCTTTCATGTATCCAGATCAACCAAAAATATAGTGTTGAACTTAACTTCAACTACATTATATTCTGAAAGCCCTAAGTATACTCTTTCAAATTGCACATGCCCCATCTACCCACAAAGTGGTTATTATAGCAGAATCTTTTATGTCGACTAAATCAACCGCTTCACAACTTGAAATACCTTCACAACTGGAAATCTTATTTCACTGAGGAATTGTTCCAGGAAAACAGAAGACAGTGCCATGTATTTAGATTAATATTCCTTTCCAAAAGATACTTCACCCTCCTGTGACCTCTTGGAATCTTGGATTTGAAGTATGAAAGAAATAATACACGAAGTCTGTAACATCTGTGCTCCATCCCACCTTCCACTGATATTTTCTTGCAAGGATCAAGATTCCTGTGGCAATCATAATTTTCATGAACCCACAGCCAGAGAATGGGAGGTTCTGAGAGGGAATTGGATCTGGGTTACTTAATGTAGTTTTAGTGTGCAGTAATTAACATAGGCATGTCTTCATGATAGCTTCCCCCCCTAGCAGCAGAGTATTTGCTTTTAACAAACTCTCTAAGGATATCAAAGCTAATGTTTCAGATCAAACATAAACACACATGCATTATAACCTGACAGTTCTTTTAAAGTACTTTTAAAAAAAATAAGATCTTGAACATTTTTTTGGTAATTATTTCTCAATCCTTGGGAGCTCTGACTTGCATTTTGTGCCATTTGAGTGCCTTGAGAATTGTTTGCAACAGAGAGACTGTTTTGCTTATTTATAATGTTCTGAACTTTGCCTGAAATTGCACATCGACTTTATTTACCCCTCCCCCTCTTGAGCTCCTTCGAACTGAAAGTCAAATTCTAATTAGTTTCTCTTAACAGACATTTTAGAGAAGGATCGGTGTCAGAATAAACCATGTGATGGGGAACTTGCCCCGACTAAGAGAGAGCTAATATTCCAGGGCCAGGATGGGGGCAGTCCAGCTGGGGGGTGGGAGGGGTGCTGGAGCGGTGCCAGGCCAGCCTGTGAGCTGGAAGCCTAGTACGGCAGAAACATGGGATTAGGGCTATGCCAGAACTTATGTTGCAAACTAGGTCCCTGTGTCACAGGCATAGGCCCAAATGGCTTTTAAAGATCAGCTGCGATTAATGTTTGGTGTGAAATTAACATCATCAGTTTAAAGTGTAGCTCGACAAATGGTGGTTTGCTTGATCTGTCCCATGTTTTTCCCCACATTACTTCTGGGGGAAAAAGATGAAGAACAGATGAGAATATTTTGGTTGTTTTTTGATCTCCCCTTTATGTCATTATTTAGGTTGTTTTTCTGGTTCCTAAAATGTTGGGGCTTAAGCTTCTGTTCTGTGGTGTGGTTTGATTCTTAGGGGGGGCGGGTAAAGGTATGTCGTGTCTCATTGGAAATCAGCTACTGTCCTTTGACCATGACTAATTTGATATTTTCCTTCCTTTTGCCCTAGTCCCTCTTCTCCATAAATATTCATGTGCTCACATGCACACCACACATACATGCACATACAGAGAAATGCTTAAACTGAAACTTGAGAGTCTTCCATGCTGCTTGCAAACCTGTTTTGTTAATATTAACATCTAGTTATTACTACCAAAATAGAAAGAACTTAGTAGAATAGAAAATAAACAAAAAAAGAAAAAAAATTGCCCTTATATTAAAAAATTCATGTTTCTTTTCACTTCTTTATGCATATATTTTTGTAATCATAGTCTAGATGCAATTCTGTATCATCTCTTTCATTTATATGTGTGTTTTAATGTTGTTAAATAGCCTGTTTTTATTTTAAATGGTCACATGATTTTTTTTTTTAACCATTTCCATATTGTTACACATCCTGTCTCCTCCCTTTGGGGCCTGTAGTAGACTCTTTGTTCATATAACTTTTCATTTGGGGAATTAATTCTTATTCTGAAAAAAAGTAGCCTTAATAGGTCAGACTATGGGTGTTTTTATATATTGCCAAATTGCTTTCCATAAGAGTTGTACTAATTCACAATATCCTACTCACCCCAGGGTGTGATGTATGTATTTCACTTTCTTACCAGCTTTAGGAACTGTCATTAAAAGTATATATTTTTGAAATTACAGCCTATAAAATATACCTCATTTAAATATATGAATATCTTATCTTCAGAAGGTCATTATAATTATGTGTCCTTTGAGCTCCTGAGTCCGTTGTAAAAACTGATGGCCAGATAGTGCTCCTGGAGCACTGGGATCCTCAAGTGGACCATGAATATAAAACTGCATTGCATTTAGTAATTTTATTGGGATTTTACATTTATTTGCTACACCTAATAAGCCTCATGCTGTTTCTGTACAGGAAATGAGAGTTCAGTCCATCTCACATCTGCAAATTGCTCAGTAGTATTGTTTGGATTTTACTTTTTGTGTTTAGTTTGACACTGAATTTGGAATTGGTAGGCAGGAAAACAGTCTTCTCACCTTTACCGTGTGAATGTTTTATATGAATTTAAGGCAGGGTTTGCTTGGATCAATGGTTCTTAAACTGGAGTGAACATCAGAATCACCTAGAAACACAGAGGACTGGCCCACCCCAGAGTTCCTGATTTAGTCGGTCTAGGCTTGGATGGAGAATTTCCCTTTCTAACAGGGCCCCAGCTATGCCGATGCTGCTGGATCCGGGACTGTACTCTTGAGATCTCGTGTTAAAGTGGAATGCAGTAAATCAGTTGCCCCAGGATGCCGTCGGATCCTGTCCGAGCAGATGTCCGTGCCTTGTCCTGATACTTTAGGTCAGTGGTCGGCAAACTCATTAGTCAACAGAGCCAAATATCAACAGTACAACGATTGAAATTTCTTTTGAGAGCCAAATTTTTTCAACTTAAACTATATAGGTAGGTACATTGTTATTAACTTAAGTAGGGTACTCCTAAGCTGGCCTTTGCTAAAAGCGTCCTCATTTTATAATAGTAAAGCCACCAACACAAAATAATTACAATTCTTAAATTGATGGCAAAAATACCTGTAGGATTTGCAGCTGGTTGGAAAAATACAGGTAACTTTATGCTTCGAGTAGGTACTTTTGTCACCCGCGCGCGATTTGTGGACGTGACTAGCACTAACCACTGCACAATGAGACTGCTGACTGACTGGCCCACTCAGCTCGTGCATGAATTGCGCGCGCCTCCCCTGCGCTGTATCCCGCGGCCCACCTGCGCCGCGTCTCCCGTTGCCCGACCGACCGACCGACACCCCCCACTTCTTCTAACGCCACTTCTTCAAAATAGACTCGCCCAGGCCGAAAACCGACTTCTGCGCATGGGCCACGAAGTTTCAATCGCACTGTACGGGCGCGCCCGCACGTGGTATTTTGTGGAAGAGCCACACTCAAGGAGCCAAAGAGCCACATGTGGCTTGCGAGCCTCGGTTTGCCGACCACTGCTTTAGGTGAAACTTGCGTTTCCTTTCAAGCTTCTAAGGGGTTTATTTCTCCCTTAAGAGTCTTAGTCTTAGCCTTTCTCTCTAGATTTTTGCTACATCTCTGGCAGTATTCTTCTTTTCCTCTGTTTATAGTCCTGCAGATGCATTTGTTTCTGGTTACCTGAGTTCAGTGCAGTGTGAGGAGAGGACTTTATGTAGGGATTCAGTAAATACATGGGGACGTTGTAACTGGATTAGTGCCTTTTAGCTGTGGTCTGATCAGAAGGTCTTCCAGGCACCCCTCAGCGTGTGCCCTCTTGAGTTTAGAAGTCCTTCCTCTGGAGCTTCGGCCTTCGGTGGGAGACCTTGTGTACAGAAACTCCATAGTTCTGTTGCTCTGATACTGTGGTCGTCTGCTCATGGATTTGAAATCTAAATACAATAATCTTTACTGTCCAGCACACCTTTGCCTACAGCATCTCCTTAGCACACAGTCTCCTGTATGTTTTAACACAAAGTTTCATTGTGATTTACATGCCATATAAATTTGTCATTTCTGTGACCGATGCACCTCACTGTTATCAATAACGCAGTGATTCTTCAAAGGACCCAGAGGAAATCCGGTGCTAGGGTTCCCATCAGAATGTACAGTGGAATTTTTGAAAAGGCAGTGTCCCTAGATGGTACAGGCACACAGTTTTAAAAATAGGACCTATCTGTTCCTGTATTGTGTTTGTTTGCCGCACACACTGTGGTGTGTGTCTGTCTCTCCTTGCTGTGTTTCCCCTCAGGGCCAAAGCCCGGCACATGGACTCCTCTGAGGTGGCACCCTCTGTACAGTTGTGCAGATTCTCCCGGGCCCACCAGAGGCAGAGAAATACAGTCATTAACTGGCTCTGAAATTATACTCTCTGACTTGATAACTAACATAAGTTTCATCATCCAAAAAATATTGATAACAATAGTGTCCACTTTATTGAGTTCTCATGATTAAATGAGATAGTTCTCATGATTAAATGAGATAACACATGTAAAGCACCCGGTGCGTGTCTGGCATATGGTAAGTGCTCCACTGGCATCATTACTGTTCCACTGGGGACGGGTGAGTGGCGGAGGTCACATGTGTGCTGGCAGAGCTCAGTTGCCCTTTCCCCACCTTTCCTTGAGCTAATCCTTCTGATACTACATGTGTTTCTCCCAGTGCCCACAGCGGGGCTGTGTGGACACACTCTTGTTTCACTGTTACTGGCTTTATTTTGTGATGGAATCCAGTGTTAAAATGAGTCAAAAAATATTTGTGTCTCATAGAAAAAAATGTTGCTTGGCTAAACTGTATGGGGTGGGGACTAGAAAATACTTATTAATAAGCTTATGTTTGGCAATTTAGAAATCCTCAAAGCTTTGAAACCCCAAAACTTTTTTATAATTTATTTGGCAGAACACATGAGCTGAGCTCATTTAGGAGTTAGGCTTGACCTAAATTGCCATGTGTCCGTCTGTAGCCTTTATTTTATTTAATGTGACTGTTCATATATTTCTGCAGGAATGTGTTTGGCAGTGGGGTATTCCTCTGACTCTGCTAGGGTAGCACATAAAGATAGTGTGTGCCTCTTACTACCATTGTAAAATGTAAAAAGCTCCAATTTCTGAAAGCATATCTAACCTCAAGGGTTTGGATAGAGGATTGTGGACATATAATCAATATTCATTTAACTAATATGTATTTAGTGTCTATAATATGCTTGGTAGAGTGTTACACTCTGGGAAACAGTTGAGCTAAAAAAAGAAATATCCAATTTAAAGGTACGCACATTTTAGTCGAACACATTATTATAAATTAATAGTATAAGCCATTATGGTTGAAGTACACAAGGTGATGACTGAGTGCAGGGTGGACAGTGAACTTGGCCAAAGGCCTGGAGTATTGGCAGCAAGGTGGGAGGGTCTCTGAAGACAGAAGCATGAACTGAGTCATAAATGAGATGAGAAGGACCTACTCAGGTGGACCAGCTTGGGAGCATGTGCAGGTGGAAATGAGAAATAACATCAGACAATGATGACGATTGGTATCCCAGGCAAAAGGAAGAGCTGTGGGGAGTCGTAAAGGTGTCCTATTGATGCAACTGTAAGTAATTCCTGAGGCTGATGCCCAGGTACATGAAGGAAGGCAGTGGTGTGGAATGGTTGTTACTGGGCAATGAGCACCAACCATCCCATGGGCAATGCTGATGGCATACACGTAGAGAAGGGACACAATGAGCTTTTCCCTTAGTTTTCTCCTAAAGATATATTGCTGGGGGCAGAGGCATATGGTGGAGGTGAGGACCTGAAGCAGAGAGACCTGTAGGTCCCAGATGCAGCTGTCAAGGGGGTAGGAGATGAGGGCCCTGGGGAGGGTCTCAGGCCTTGGGGAGGGTCACCAGGAAAGCCTTGTTTCTGGAGACAAGCATTTTGGGAAGACCTCTCTGGCATGTCATGCTTTTTGAAGTACTGTGGACTTCCTTGTTTATCTGAACATCAGCTTCGAGATTTGTACTTTAGAAGTGTTGGAACTGAGTCATGGCAGTAAGGGGTTTAGCCAGAGCCAAGCAGCAAATTAATGGTAGGGATATTGGTTGGTAAAGATATATTTGTCCCAGAAAAGAGAAAACTTTCCATTAGACATACGCCCAGGAACAAATGATTGTATAATTGAGATACACAAGCCAAAGGTTGTGGGGGAGTGGGTAATGAATAATGCCTCTGATTTCTTTCGTGTGGCCCTTTGAGTCACACCAACAACTTGACATGGAAAAGCAAGGCTTGGCTCAGCTCCCCCTTCCTTGACCCCCACGCAAGAGCTCCTCTTCCCTGCATTTTTGTGCCTTTTGTTGTTTGTACCACACATTTGGCACTTGAAGTGCTTTGTATTTTTAGTCACTTTTCCAGAATTCATGCTGGCTCACGATTTGGCAGTTTGTTCATTGGGTGTTGTCTTTAAAGGACATCAAGTTCACTTTTTTCTTTGCCTGGCTACCAGATTGTTTGTCACTTTCTGGCAGAAGCGAGGAACAGTTGTACCTGACTTCCTATCTTAACAACACAAATCATTTCACAGTCTGGCCTTGGCCTGTTCTCTCTCATTCTCTTTTTATTTTATAAGAATGATTTTTTAAAAAAATGATTTTATTGATTTCAGAGAGAGGAAGGGAGAGGTAGAGAGCGATAGAAACATCAATGATGAGAATCATTGATCAGCTGCCTCCTGCACGCTAGGGATCCAGCCAGCAACCTGGGCATGTTCCCTGACCAGGAATTGAACCGTGACCTCCTGGTTCGTGGGTGGATGCTCAACCACTGAATCACACCGGTGGAGCTTGGCCTGTTCTCTTCACTACCCATTTGCACCCGATTTCAGCCACAGAGACTTCTTTCCATCTCTCCAGCTATGAGGATGAGTGTCCTTTGTAACTCCTTATCTTTGCCCCACTCCCCTGACCCCCACACCTGGAATGCCCCCTTTCCTTGGTTTTTTCTCTTCCTCATCCTTTTCTCTGCCTTGAAAACTCATTATTATGTCTGCCCAAGCCCTAGCTTCTGGAAAGGTTACTTATACTTCAGTAACATCCAATTATCTGGTTCTTAATAAACCACACAGGTGTTTTCTTCTCTGAGTACCATGTCCCTGCCCCCTCTCCCTGCCCCTACCTCTAACGCTAGTTTAATTTATTTACTTTCTCATCTCCCTTTTCTCTTTTCCTGCTCCTCATCACCCACATTGCATCTTTTTCATTTTTGTATCCCTAGGGCCAAACAAAACCTCTGGTGCACACAGTTTAATGGATCAGAATGGTATGAGTAAAGTTAGGAACCAACAAGTAAAAATATAGTGATGGTTTCTAATCTATCTTTGCCTCTTAAGATATAAAGTAAGTAGTGAAGGGAAAAAAATTCAGACTTTAAAAAACAACACCACAAAGAGCAGGGCTAGTCCTCCTCCTCCTCCTCACTAGACATTGAGTTCCCTGAAAACCAAGAGCATGTCTTACACTCTTATCACCCTCACTATTTAACGTGGTGTTCCACACTTAGTAGGTACAGAATGTACTTTGTATTGCTTGAAATAATTGCTTTCCTTCACCAGAGGGAATTTCACATGGTGGCCAGAGTTTAATCCCAGGTGTATTTTATTCTGGAGAAGCATGACCAGTGTCAGATGGAAACAATCAACAGTTGACCGATATTTGAAGAAAGAGGCGTGACTAAGTCCCAGGCACAATCAATTAGATGGTCTTTGTTTTTAAACTTGATTCCTTTTGTTAAAACATGGGGGCATTTAATAAAGTTAAAATATGGTAAATATAAACATAAGGGGAAGCCTCAGCTTTATAAAGTGAAATTCATGGTTGGGTATCACTTTTAAAAATCCTGCCATGCTTTTTTCTTTTGCATTTAAATAGTAGGAAAATCCAACTGGTGTTACTGTTCACAATCACATAACCCTTTCCAAACTAGCCAGACAAATTACCACAAATAGCTAGCTGTTATGCTAGATTTTTAAAAAGAATTAAACCAGGTTATTAAGTATATTCTCTTTCAGAAAAATTGAGAGATGGGGAAGGGTATATCTCTTATGTTTCCTATAAATTAATGTGGTCCTTGAACAGTTATAAATTATCTTGTAGGCCCATCTCCAGGAGTATTTTAAGGGGTGTCTGTTAGTAATGAAAAGAATTAAACCATTTTTGTGTGAATGCTTCCAGGGATCCTTACAAGAGAAGTAGGTAGGGCCTTGGAGGTGAGCTGGCTCAAGGCGTCTTCTCTGAGCAGGGGTTTATGCCTAATATGAGCTCTTTATGATTTACCAGAAAAGGTTTTTAATCCGTGGACTGAAATATTACAGTGCGGTTATGTAGTGTGGAAAAGTTAATTAGAAAATAGTATCAACTAGAAATTTATTTTTACATAACTAGAATACATTCTATTTTTTTTTTAAATAAACTCAGTTGGATTTGTGAAGTTTAAGGAAAAAATCTAGTATTTCTTTAACAGAGGCTCTTTATCATAGCTAATCTTTTGTGTAAACAATTTGTATTCATATGGGATTTATAAGAATGGATACTCTTTCTTAAGTAGTTTAATTTCTTTGATAAATGAAAAGGGAATTGAAGCTATTCAGGTGGCTTGTAGGAACTAGAAAAACTTAATCATAACTTTCTTCACAGCCTCCTCCTGTCTCCTCCAACAACCTGTTCAGTATGTAGGAATAGAAGAAAGTTACTTAGAGGAAGGGAAAAGGGCAGAAAATCAAGCAATCCACTGTCCTCATGGTTGAAACCTTTGATGATAGAAGGATTTTTCCCCTTTTATTTCTATAAGGGGAAGAACCAATTTCCTAATTCCAAATGAAGTTTTTAAAATTAAACAAATAGTTGACATACAATGTTGTATTAGTATCAGGTGTACAACTTAGTGGTACATTTATATACTTTACTACGTGTCCACCACGATCTGCCTAGTAACCATCTGTCACCTTACAAAGTGATGATATTACTGACTGTATTCCCTGTGCTGCACATTGCTATAACCATGTGACTCATTATTTTATAACTGGAAGTTTGTACCTCTTATTCCCCTTCACCCATCCACCCACCCACCTTTTCTCTGGCAACCATCAGATTGTTCTCTGTATCTTTGAGTCTTTCAGTTTTGTCTTCTGGAGTCCACATATAATTGAAATCGTATGGTATTTGTCTTTCTCTGTCTGCTTATTTATTTAGCATAATACCCTGTAGGTCCATCCATGTTGTTGCAAATGATAAGGTACCTTTTTAATCCCTGCTTTATTGCTGTGCCCAGAGCAGGTGGATCTGCCATGTTGGCCCCTCAGTGATATCTCTTCCTACTGCAGATCACCCACTCTGGTAGGGTTCCCACGGGGACCACGTCTCCGTCTCTCCTACTCTTCCTTTTGTGGTTCCTCTCTCGTTTGTTGTGTAGAGCTGTTTAATCAGCCCTCGATTCTTCAGGAGGAATTGCTCTATATGTAGGTGTATGTTCGGTGTGTCCCTCGGATGAGGTGAATTTGAGGTCTTCCTATGCTGCTGTCTTGGATCCCCCATCCCCAGATGATAAAGTAAAAAAATTTTCTATTTGTGGAATTACTCTTTCTTCTGAAAAATAAGCAGTTGGTGTAATTTTGCTGAAATTAGCCACTTTCATATTTGCTTGGGAATAAGGGAAGAGTTTATCCTTCTCAGTCATTCTTGTTTTTCTCAAATGACTACCCTTCTCTACAATTTGTGCTCCAATCTGAGAGTAAATAATTGAGCCATCAGTGAGCTATATCTGGCAATTAGCATGTACTCAGTCCACGTACAATGAATGAATAAGGAAATTTATAATTTGTATTAATTACCTGCATCCTCTCAATAGGAGGAATGATTTTATAGCAAGGACTTTTTTCCTAATCATAATAAAAAGATGTATTTTGATAATGTTCTTGGATTATTTGCCTGTAGCTCTAGTTTGTGGGTAACATTTTATTTCTATTATGGTCTGAAACTACTAGATTCATGTCAAAAAATGTCGTGTCTTTTTTTGATCACCAAAGGAATTTTTGTCTTGGATCTTACAGAGCTGTTTATATACTCTCAGAGCATTCTGTTAATTGTAATTACATGAGAAGTAGTCACAGTTTCTTGTAACAATTATTTTTCCTCCAGTTTCTCTGCAGGGCATCTATTTATTGCCTTGTTCTCCACTTATTTTAAGACCTACCTGTAGGTTTCAGAATCTCCTTGAAGTGCAAGAAAGGTGATGAGGAGGGTGATCAGTACTTTTCCTGTCACATTATAATGTGATACCATCAATAAAAACCCCGAGGGAACCTCTACTCTCTTGCTAAGCCAATAATTCTTGTCCATGTGTGCAGGTATTGTGGAAGATTACAAGCCACCATTCTATGATGTGGTTCCCAATGACCCAAGTTTTGAAGATATGAGGAAGGTGGTCTGTGTGGATCAACAGAGGCCAAACATACCCAACAGATGGTTCTCAGACCCGGTAAGAACCACTTTCTTAGTTTTTCAGCTGTCCTCAGCTGTTTGCTTGCTCTTGTGTTTCATCTGGTATGGTTCTTAAGTGATCTGCCTCAGCTACCTATTGCTTTCTCTCCCTATTTTATGCAGAAGGCCTTAGATCTAGTTAAGTAGGTACAGAAAATTGTCTCTTTCTTGAAAGAGCCATAGCTGATAGATCTTGCTAACGACTGACAGTATTCACAAAAATTTCTATTACTGATGAGCTTCAGAAATTGGGAATCTCATTACTATACCACTGGCCCTAGGACTGTAGTTTCATGTGTAAACCAAGACACTGAGTGATGCTTTTAACTGTTTTGTTTTTTCCATCTCTGCATATCTGAAATTGCAAACATAAGTTATTCAATGCTGAAAGTCCTTATGTCTGCTCTGTAGTAGCAAATCTAAGACATTGAGAAATCACCCTTTCTGCACATTTCAGTTTTAACTCTGGGTTAGTATTGCCATTTGTAGCACCCATAAAACCATCAAGGGATTTAGCCTGACCTATGTAATTGACTTGATAAAGTCATTGGGTATTCTAGGCAGTCCAAAGGACAGATGCCATGAAACTCAAGAGTGGCTTTTTTATTAGTGGTCAAGGCCTCGATTATTGGTTTTAAAAAGATGGCAATGACACCACTTTAACTTCACAAGACCTAGAGCTCTGCAACATAACTAATACATCTGCCCAGCTTCTTGGTCCCCAAAAGACCACTTTTTCATTGTGTTGTTTGCTCCTTCTCTCCGCAGACATTAACTTCTCTGGCCAAGCTGATGAAAGAATGCTGGTATCAAAATCCGTCTGCAAGACTCACAGCTCTGCGTATCAAAAAGACTTTGACCAAAATTGATAATTCCCTAGACAAATTGAAAACTGACTGTTGACATTTTCATGGTGTCAAGAAGGAAGATTTGACGTTGTCGTCATTGTCCAGCTGGGACCTAATGCTGGCCTGACTGGTTGTCAGACAGAATCCATCTGTCTCCCTCCCCAGATGGCTGCTTCAACAAGGCAGACATCTCACCCAGCCACGTGTTGGGGAGACACCAAAACCACCCTAACCTCGCTCAATGACTGTGAACTGGGCATTTCACAACTGTTCACACTGCAGAGACTGATGTTGGACAGACACTGTTGCAAAGGTAGGGAACTGGAGGAACACAGAGAAATCCTAAGAGAGATCTGGGCATTAAGACAGTGGCTTTGCATATCTTTCACAAGTCTCCTAGACACTCCCCACGGGAAATTCAAGGAGGTGGTGAATTTTTAATCAGCAATATTGCCTGTGCTTCTCTTCTTTATTGCACTAGGAATTCTTTGCATTCCTTACTTGCACTGTTACTCTTAATTTTAAAGACCCAACTTGCCAAAACATTGGCTGCATACTCCATTGGTCTGTCTTTGGATAATAGGAATTCAATTTGGCAAAACAAAATGTAATGTCAGACTTTGCTGCATTTTACACATGTGCTGATGTTTACAATGATGCTGAACATTAGGAATTGTTTATACACAACTTTGCAAATTATTTATTACTTGTGCACATAGCAGTTTTTACAAAACTGCTCTGTGCATATGTTAAAGCTTATTTTTATGTGGTCTTATGATTTTATTACCGAAATGTTTTTAACACTATACTCTGAAATGGACATTTTCTTTTATCCTCAGTTAAATTCACATTTTAAGTGCTTCACATTTGTATGTGTGTAGACTGTAACTTTTTTTCAGTTCATATGCAGAACGTATTTAGCCATTACCCATGTGACACCACTGAATATATTACTGATTTAGAAGCAAAGATTTCAGTAGAATTTTAGTCCTGAACGCTGTGGGGAAAATGCATTTTCTTCGGAATTATCCATTATGTGCATTTAAACTCTGCCAGAAAAAAAAATAACTATTTTGTTTTAATCTACTTTTTGTATTTAGTAGTTATTTGTATAAATTAAATAAAATGTTTTCAAGTCAAGAAGTGAATTATATTGAGTGTATAAAAAAGATCTAGATAATGTAGAGCATTTTCTTATGGGAACAATAGAAAAATATCATAAATCGAATTTGCTTTTCAAGTCTAGTAATGAACTTGAGGGGTTCTTCTATGAGGATGTTTCCAGCTTGAATTTGGTATCAAGATAATTTGAATTTTGTTTGTTTCTTTTTTTGGCTGTGATTTTTTTTATTGCTCAAAAAATAACTGACCCGCCTTCCTAACAAGATGGTTGTGAGTAGAAATGGGAGGGAGTATGTGAAAGCATTTTGTTTAGTATGTGGCCATATGTGAGTGGAAAGCAGTCTTACCCATCTCACCATATGTTTGAGGGGAGTCCATTGTTGGCTTTTTTCACTTAACTCTGTTCAACAAGATTGAAAAGATTGGGTTTAGAGTATCCCCAAAGAGGAAGAAGTGTGAAGATTCTGAAAAGTTCACCAGAGGTAAGTTAACAATACATTTACCTGTATTATTATCCTATATAATAAAACCCTAATATGCAAATTGACCCAAAGGTGGAACAACCAGTCACTATGACTCGCACTGACCACCAGGGGGCAGACGCTCAATGCAGGAGCTGCCCCTTGGTGGTCAGTGTGCTCCCACAGGGGGAGCACCGCTCAGCCAGAAGCTGGGCTCACGGCTGGCAGGAACCTCTCCCGCCGTGGCAGGCAGACAGGCGGTAAGGAGCGAGAGGTCCTGGTTTGCAAGAATGCATGAATGTCATGCACCGGGCCTCTCTTGTATTTAAAAAATTGTGGTAAAATACAGATATAAAATTTATCATCTTAATCATTTAAATGTACAGCTTGAGGGTTGTGCTGCCGTCTCACTATCCATCCCCAGAACTCTTCTTCTTGCAAAACTAAAACTGTACTGATTAAACAATAGGTCCCTCTTCCTTAGTCTCTGGCAACTCTCAACCTATTTTCTGTCTCTATGAGTTTACTCTAAATACTTCATAAGAGTGGAATCATACAGTATTTTTCCTTTCATGGGAGACTGGCTTTTTCACTTAGCATAATGTCTTCAAGGTTCATTCTTATTGTAGCATATATTAAAATTTACTTCTTTTTATGGCTGATAATATCTCATTTGTATGTATATACAACATTTTGTTTATCCATTCATCTGTTGATGGGCAGTTGGGTTTCTTCCACTTTTTTAGCTATTCTGAAAATGCTGCCATGAACATCGGGTGTATAAATATTTCTTTGAGTTCTTGCTGTCAATTCTTTTGGCTGTATACCCAAAAGTAGGATGAAGTCGCATTTAACTTTCATTGAAGTATTACATATGTAAGACTATACATATATAGAAGTGTACAGCTTGATGCATTTTTATCAATTTTATATATTGGTTGCACCAGATCAAGCAGCAGAACATTGGCTTCTCTAGAGTGTCAGCCTCATGGCAGCATGAGTCATTTCTTTTTGATTTATAAGTAACTGGACATCCATTACAGAACAAAAGTGCCTCTGCACATTACACCAGGACTCCTGGCAACTTTGACCCACCCATGCACCTGAATGTGGGTGGATCAGACCTCGGAGGAGGGAGATTTGCTGTGGATACAAAGGATTTAGTGAGCCTACCCAACACCCACATGCCATGATTGGGAAAGGGAGAATGCCAAACTGGGCAGACACTCTTGGGCGATAGAAATTTTGTAGAGATCCACCAACCTGGCAGGAGAGTCTGGCATGCCATAGGAGGGAGATGGAAATTAGCTTGGAGGTGGGGGAGCTCACTGAGGTGCCCCCTTCCCCAAGGAGACTTGCAAAGCACAGCATCCACCTCTCTGCCATAGGAGGTGGAGAGTGAAAGTAGCGAGTGACAGACTGCTTGGCTGCATGGGTTGCAGCTGGAGGGACCTGTTTCTCTCTAGCAATACCTGAATTACTGAGGAGGGCTCTCTGAGAGGGGGTTGAGGGGGTGGAAGGAAATTTGGGACTTCAGCAGGAGGTCCACCCACAGACCTCTGGTACTACCCAACTCATGGGTCATTCTGTTGGGCTATGGGTACCCCCAAAGCCTCAGAAACAAAGTCTACACCTCCCAACATGCTGCTGCCAGCTATCTTTGTGCCCTGTCGGAGGAGGGCGGCCCGGAGAGCCTGCTCAGGTAAGAGAAACCAAAACCTTGAGTTATAGCGCCACCTTCTGGAATACAAAAAGTGGTTTTTAATTACCGACCTGTTGAGCTGTAACAGCCAAAGTAAACAAATCCTTCACTAAGGAAAATGCATGCTACTTCAAATGTGAAAGCCAAAGTGCATGGCACTATGAAAAATATCAAAGCATGACTTTCGGTCTAGGTGGCAGGGTAGGTAAACATTGTGCTCGCCTCTTCCCACAACCACATCGAAATTACAGCTAAATTATAGAACAACTACCACTGAGAACCACATGAAGACTAGCTGAACAGAAGTCCTATAACTGAGGATAGAAAGAAGCCACATCCAGATTGGTAGGGGAGCAGCGGCAGAATGGGCGGGTCTCACACCCATAGTGTGGCAGTTAAGAATCTGGAGGGATATCTTGGTTACAGAGGTCTCCCCTGAGGACTGAGGGGTTCCAACTTCCAGTGCCAGGAAGAGGAGTCCTCATAACTTGGGTGTGAAAACCAGTGGTCATTACGTCTGGGAGACAGAGGGCTGCTGGAGACCTAGGGATCCTCTTGAGGGCCCATTCATGGACTCACACATGAACTCACCCCCTCTGGGCTCCAGCACAGGAGCAACAGCTCAGAAGGTACCAGGGACGTATGGGGACTGACAAGGGCTACAAGACAAGGGCTGGCGGGACAGGGGTCAAGGCCGCTCTTGGATGGAAGTGCTGGCAGACGCCATTGATCCCTTGTTGAATGCTCCTTCCACTCACCCTGCAGGCCCAGCTGGTGCCAAATCTGAGCTCCTCATTCACCTGGCTAATGCTTTCTTCCCTGGTGATTCTCTGAGATCCCGTCCCACCTAACTTGTGCACCTGGCCCAAACCTCTTCCGATAGCAGCTCCACAAAAGCTGCCTGCCTTGCTTCATGCTGTGGACTGTCTCAAAGGCCATAAACCCCAAACAAATAGTGGCTGGCCTCAGCATCCCCTGTACCTCTTTCTAAGTGGCCTCAACCCTAGCACAAGTGGTGACCTTACATATGCTGCTTACAAGAGACCCACTTCAGGTAATGACACACCTAGACTAAAAGTAAAGGGATGAAAAATATATTTTATGCAAATGGAAATGAAGAAAAAGGTGAGGTAGTAAAACTTATATCAGACAAAATAGACTTAAGAACAAAGGCTGTAACAGGAGACAAGGGCATTTTGTAATGTTAAAGGGATCAACCCAACAAAAGTACATAACTTTTTTAAAAAATATATTGTATTGAATTTTTACAGAGAGGAAGGGAGAGGGATAGAGAGTTAGAAACATCGATGAGAGAGAAACATCGATCAGCTGCCTCCTGCACACCTCCTACTGAGGATGTGCCCTCAACCAAGGTACATGCCCTTGACTGGAATCAAACCTGGGACCTTTCAGTCCACAGGCTGACGCTCTATCCACTGAGCCAAACCAGTTAGGGCAAAAGTACATAACTCTTATAAACAGTTGCACACCCAATGAAGGAGCACCTAAATATACAAAGCAAATATTGATGAACATAAAGGGAGAGATAGACTGTAATACAGTCATATTAGAGGACGTAAATACCATATTGACATCAATGGATAGACCATCCAGACTGAAAATCAACAAGGAAACATTTGCCTTCAATGACACATAGAACTATGGTCTTAGATATTTTTAGAACATTTTACCCCAAAGCAGCAGAATATACATTCTTTTCAAGTGCATTTGGAAAATTTTCCAGGGTAGATCATATGTTTGGCCACAAAAGCAGTTTTAAATTTAAGATTGAAATCCTGTCAAGCATCTACTCCAATCACGATGGTATGAGACTAAAGTCAGTTACAGTAAGGAACATGACAAAACAAACACATGGAGGCTAAGAAACAATAAACTGTGCTAAGAAACAATAAATGGGTGAACAACAAGCTCAAGGAAGAAATCAAAAGATGCCTTCAGTCAAATGAAAATAAAAGCACATTTAAAAATCTATGGGACATGGCCAAACCATTTCTAGGAGAGAAATTCATAGCAATGCAGGCCTACCTCAGGAAACAACAAAAATTGCAAACAAACTATACTTATACCTAAACAAACAAGCAAACAAACAAAAACTAGAAAAAGAACAATTAAAGCCCAAAGTGAGTAAAAGAAATTAAATAATAAAGATCAGAGCAGAAATAAGTGAATCAGAGTCTTAAAAAAATATCAAAGCTGTTTCTTTGAAAATATAAACAAAACTGATAAATCATCAGACAACTCATTGAAAAAAGAGGGAGTGCTCAAATAAAAAAATCAGAAATGAAAAAGGGGAAATGACAATAGACACAACAGAAATATAAGAAAATGCTATGAGAAGTTATATAATTTGTAAGAAATGGATGAATTTCTAGAAACATACAATCTTCCAAGACTAACTCAAGAAGAAACACAATCTGAACAGACTGATAACTACTAACAAAATTAAATCAGTAATACAAAATAAATAAACAAAAGTCCTGGACCAGATGGCTTTACAGGTGAATTTTACCAAACATTCAAAGAAGAATTAATACCTATCCTCAAACTTTTCCAAAAAAACTGATGAGGAGAAAAGACTCCCAAACTCATTTGATGAGGCCAGCATTACTCTGATACCAAAATCAGACAAAAACACCAAAAGAAAGAAAGAAAGAAAGAAAGAAGGAAAGAAAGAAAGAAAGAAAGAAAGAAGGAAGGAAGGAAGGAAGGAAGGAAGGAAGGAAATTATAGGCCAATACTCCTGATGAACACAGATGCAAAAATCCTGAACAAAAAATTAGCAAACAATTCAGCAATACATTAAAAAGATCATACACTGTGAATAAGTAAGAGTT